AAACTTCCACCATCTGGCATCCCACAATATCAGTGGGAGGTTATGGGAGTTGAAGTCTTATGTATCTGTAGGTCATAATGGGTTCAAACAACAGGACTTTTGAAGGCCAATCCTTACATCAGTGCAAGATGAGAAGTATCTACTGTATCTTGGAAGGAGATTCCCATGGATATTTCTCAGATAAATGTGTTAAATTTAACTGACATGATTATGGAGATGTCCTTGGATTTAGGCGTTTTCAATTTTTGTCCCTATGGGACAAGGTAAATGCACTCAAAATGAACTTTATTCTTCAAACTATACTTGTTCTTCTGTGCTAGTTCACCTTCATATGCTTAGCAGATACATTCATAAAATCAGTACTGTGTTTTGGAAATTTATATGCGGTTCTGTACCATCTCAGGTTTCTATGCATTTACTGAAGGTGGGTTTGGGTTCCTGACCGTAATTTATATTATCAGGCACCTCAGCTAAACTATGTTATTGGAGCTATGTCCCACAGTCAAATTATCCATCTTTGCCCCTTTTTAGAAATCTGCTGTCTGGCAACTCTCTCCGAGAGGACAGTCTTTGGATCTACATGTACCAGCACAGACTCTATTCCCTCAACAGTCTCTACAGTAAGAGAATGATGGCACATCCATGGTCTCCAAAGTTCCAGTTTGACCCATTTTCACAGGCTAAACCAACCTTGTGGGGTTATGGTTGTTGTGGGTTTTTCGGGCTCTTTGGCCGTGTTCTGAAGCTGGTTCCATAAACAGCCATAAATACTGCACTCCCAAGCCAACTACACCAGAGCACAGAGTGCTCATGGCCACAGAGACTGGTGAAACGTTAGGAAGAACAACCTTCAGAACACGGCCAAAGAGCCCGAAAAACCCACAACAACCATTAGATCCCGGCCTTGAAAACCTTCGTGAATACATTATGGGGTTATCTCGTCTTAAAAGCATCTCTCCTTAATGTCATCTACTTGGCCCACTATATCTTCCCAGGCTACACTCCTCCAAGCAGCCACTCTGAAGGAGGCCTGTAAGTCATCCACGTGGGGTCGGCCCTTCTTCACAGCGGCACCAGCTTTATGGAACCAGCTCCCAGCGGAGCTATGTCTGGCCCCTCTCCCCGTGAACTGTTAGAAAGCAGCTTGACGCTCTGCTTCTCAGGAAGGCCTTCCACGCCTGACATTACCTCTCCTGACCTGCTGTTTTATTGTGTACCCACCAATGGCACCATATATCTTACCTACTATCTGGTTTTTCCCCCCACTTTCTAGTTGAGTATTTGGGTATTTGTAGTTTGATTTATGTGTTTTATTCAAGACTGTTGTAAACCACCCTAGAATGAACGAATGAACGAATGACAATGGGAAAGATGTCCTTTTCATGAAGGTTAGGGACATCATATACCTGTTCCTTGGAGGTTAAACACCGGCCATTATAGATAGATTCTCCATACCCATACGACTGCCAAAAGGCTGATTTTGTAACACTGGAAAAACAGATACCCTCCACCAGCAATCCAGTGGGTAGGAGACCTTACAATGTTGTTCACATATGAAGTTATGGCATAGAGACAACGACATATGGATATATTGTGTGATATTTGGAAGCCTTTTGTAGAAGCTTAAGTGGAGACACAAACTCTTGTGTTCTATCTTCCTTCTTCCTATTCATCTCTTCTCTCTTTTTTTACTCCTTTCTCCCCCTCCTTTTTTTTCATTATTATGAACAAAAAGTAAAATGTATGCTGCTTCCAGTCTTGGTATGTTTATGAGACGTCTCCTCCTATCATGGACAACGTGACCAATCCCTCTGAGCCACAGAGAGCATTAAATACCCCCTCTTTTGACTCCAGTTGGCAATTCAAGGAGCATCGCCATGCCAGAAGCACAGCACCCAGTTTCCGCACAGGTAAGAGAAAAGTGGACCCTCCGGATGTGTTGCTGAGCAGGGACTTGGAAAGGATGCTACAGGATGGGGAAGGCAGGAGCTCCGAGGGCAGGGACAGACAGAAAGACACACACACACACACACATGCAAACAGACAAGCACATACATGATGTCAGAGAACTTTTGATTAGTCAGCCAGATCGATGGTCTGCCCAGCTGAGGAGGCGATCCTTTGCCTATCCTGACACACACTTTAATGAAGGAAATGGACAACTTAATAAGACTTGTCTCATCGGATCAGAGCAAGGTGAGAAGACCATCTTACCCAATGTCTGTTGTTGTTTAGTTGTTAAGTTGTGTCCGACTCTTCGTGACCCCTTTATGGACCAGAGCACGCCAGGCCCTCCTGTCTTCCACTGCCTCCCGGAGCCAGGCCAAATTCATGTTGGTCACTTCAATGACCCTGTCCAGCCATCTCATCCTCTGTCGTCCCCTTCTCCTCTTGCCTCCACACTTTCCCAACATCAGGGTCTTTTCCAGGGAGTCTTCTTTTCTCATGACATGGCCAAAGGATTGGAGCCTCAGCTGCAGGATCTGTCCTTCCAGTGAGCACTCAGGGTTGATTTCCTTCAAAATGGATAGGTTTGTTCTCCTTACAGTCCAGGGGACTGCCAAGAGCCTCCTCTGGCACTCAGTGTCTAGCTTTCCAGAATAGCTGATGAGCAGCGTCCAGCAAAACTCCATGCTAAACATGGCTTCTCCTGTGCATCTCAGATGGAGATACAAGACAAAGAATAGTTTCACCCACAGTTCCTGGAGAAGAGAATTCCCTGATTCCTCCCAGTGTAAACTGGCCCTTAAAAACTGAGGACCAATTTGGGTCTTTCATAGCCAACGCTTTGACGTGTGCTTAGTAGAAACCTTGGGGTCAATGAAGGTATTTATTAGCAGTGTGGGATATTTCTGTGGACAGGGCACTTTCAAAGCCATCCTGCTGATCCCAAACCATTCCTGGACTAGGGACCTCAATCTTCCAGTTTTCCCAGCTCCAGATCTTGCCCCATCCTCAGGCACGCTTGTTCCTGCCTTACTTGGGCTGAGCAACCTTTGATAACCGTAACTCAGTTTATGAATTTCTCCAGGCCTTGTTGCAGCGATTGTGCCGTAGTGAGCATTGCTTCTAAGAACTGCTGGTCAAGCTCTTCATCTTAGTGACTTTCTCACATTCAGTTTTCCAGAGTTCACCCAATCTTGTGCGTTTTCCAAAGTTCACCCAATCTTGCACTGACCGATAAGCTGATTGTGGGAGAGGTAAAGGACTACCTTCTGTTAGTGATGATTTTTAAACGTTATTTTAAAATGTATTCGCGAAGGCTTTCACGGCATTTATTTTAAAATGTATTTGCGAAGGCTTTCATGGCCGGGATCTAATGGTTGTTCTGGGTTTTTCGGGCTCTTTGGCCGTGTTCTGAGGGTTGTTCTTCCTGACGTTTTGCCAGTCTCTGTGGCCATGGGCATCTTCAGAGGACAGGAGTAGGAAATATGTCCAAGCTCTGTCTGAAGATGCCAACCACAGAGACTGGCGAAACATCAGGAAGAACAACCCTCAGAACATGGCCAAAGAGCCCGAAAAACCCAGAACAACTATTTTAAAATGTTTTAAGCAAACCCTGTTGAACTTCTGCCTCCAATGATATTTTCTATATTTTACTTATTTTTCTCTTTCATGACCTTATTTTCATCTGCATATTCCTTTTCTAATATCATTTCTCCAAATTTGGTGGGGGGGTTATAATTTTGAGTCTCTGGACAGAGTCAAGGGGAATGGCTGCCCAACCCTGAGTTTCAGGGAACCAGAACTGCAGTTTTTTTTTGTCAGCACATCACTCTCCGATGAATCTGGTGACACCTTTATGTATAACATGTATTTCCCCCATTGCCCTTTCAGACTCGGCCCTAAGGAACCTGTTAGGTGTAGCTCCTGAGAAACATGGGTGGTCTAGAGGGATAGAAAGTGTTTCCGCGGGTGGGGATTCTGCAAGTCAGGACAGTTAGCCGTCGAGGGAGGGAGTGGGGTGGCTGAGGTCCTCAAACGGCCATAAACTCCACAAGACCTTAAAAACAAAAACAGACAAACAAGACTGAATGAAGTAAATATGAACCCATTTTTAAAAGTGCACTCAGTTGCCTCCCCAGGTTGCTTGCAACAGTGAAGTGAAGCCAAGGAAGGGCTTCTAAAGGCGGACAGTTCTTACCTCGGAATATATTCAATCACCTCTTCAGACTCACATCCTACACACAACCAACAAGTTTAAAGGATGATATTTTGGTTTACCTGTCCCTCACATCGGAGTGAAGTTGTGAACTAACTGGACATACTCTTGGTGAAACTAGGAATGCCCATTAAAGGCAGGAAAGTTGGGGAAGGACCTGTTGCTATTTGCTCTTATCTCAGCAATCCCTCTGAGTCCTCTTTGATCACTTATGTAGGGCTATCTGACCTACTTCTTGACCATGGCAGAAAGCCTTCCTCTACCAGTTCCATGTAGATGAACTCAACCCAACCCAAACCAAACCAAACCAAACCAACACAACACAACTCGACCTGACCCAACCCAACCCAAACCAAACGAATGCAACCAAACCTAAACCAACCAACCCAAACCAAACAAAAACAAAACAAAACAAACCATACCATACCAAACCAAACCACAAAATGTCCCATAAACAATAAACCAGTTGCTAGTTGAAAATCTAACTCCAGGAAGCAAACCAAGTCAGCAATTTAGGAGAAATAGAGACTCCAAACCAAAGTTTGAACCAGTTCACCATGATGAAATGGGACATGTCTTTCTTTCTAGTTCCCAGATAGGAAGGACGCTCAAAGCCTTATGAATATCCGAAGCCACCCATGGAAACTTCTGAAAAATTAGTTGGGAGGGGGACTTGGTTCTGTCTGAGTGTCGGCCCACAGAGGAATGGGAGGATGCTAGGTGAATTAGGAATTAGAGCATACATAAGAAAGAGTGGGAGAAACACGATTCTTTTCCAAATAATCCTATGCCAGCTTCCCTTTTGTTTTTCTCTATACAGACCAGCACTGTGGCCTCCATGGATGTCAGGAACATGACACAGGTAACGGAATTTGTCTTCCTTGGCTTCTCGGGGATTCCACAAGGTCACATCTACTTCTTCTTTCTATTCCTAGCTATCTACTTGGTGACCATCACTGGGAACACCACCATGGTCGCCCTGATCCAGATGGATCGACGCCTTCACAACCCCATGTACTTCTTCCTCAGCCACTTGTCCTGCATAGACGTTTGCTTCTCCTCGGTCACCATTCCCAAGATCCTGGTAAACCTCTGGCACCAGAAACACACAATTTCACCCAACCAGTGCATGGCCCAAATGTTCTTCTTGATGGCCTTTGCAGGCTCTGAGTGTGCCCTGCTGGCCGTCATGGCCTTTGACCGCTATGCCGCCATTTGCCAGCCCCTGCGATACACTCATCTGATGAGCTCTCAGGTCCGTATTCCTCTCGCCGTTGGCGTCTGGATCTGGGGCTTGCTGGACTCGGCCATTCACACGGCCCTGGCTACTCGCCTGTCTTTCTGTGAGGCCAACCAGATTGACCACATCTTCTGCGACGTCCCGCCCCTCTTGAAGATCGCCTGCAGCGACACCTACGCCAACGAGCTCAGTCTTCACTTGGCCAGCATCTTCATGGGCTTCGGCCCCTTGCTTTTCATCCTCCTCTCTTATGCCTACATCCTGCTGGCCATCTTGCGGATCCGCTCCAACACTGGCCGGCAGAAGGCGCTTTCTACCTGCACCGCTCATGTGATCGTAGTCACCATGTTCTATGGGCTGGGAAGTGTGAACTACAACCGCCCCAGGGCGGGCTACTCCTTGCAAATCGACACTCTGATCTCCTCCCTGTATTGCTGTGTCACCCCCATGCTCAACCCCCTCGTCTACAGCCTTCGGAACAAAGAAGTCAAGGCAGCCCTGAGGAAGTTCCTGGTTGGTCTGAAGAAGGAATATAACCTCGCCTAGAAGGCTACAAACACCTGTCAGACCAAACTAGTTTTGTTTGCTGCAATTAAGTCAGTGAACCGGAAAAACAGTGGGGAGACTCACAGATAGTAGCTGAGATGGGTTGAGGATCATGACTCATAAAATCCCAGATCAATAGACCTGTTGGTTGTTTATTTATTTATATGAGTATTTATGAGGCTTCCTATTTCAAATCAAATCTCCTGATGTCCAGTCACTTCCTTCAGCCGCTCCATCATTCTGATGGCTTCAAAGCTGGACTTCCCAGGTATAAATTCACAACCAATAAATGTACATTCTTCCAACGGTGCCTTCACAACATCCTGAGTTGCTTTCTTACTTTGCATTAAACATGAGGATCCAGTGACAGCTTTGGAAGTTGCAAAATAACTTCATGGTGTTTGGGAATTGGTCCCCAGGAACCAACAAGCAGCTTTTCTTGCATGTTGGTTTTTGCTTCAGGTTTAAGGACACAACTTTGGCCATGTTCAGCTGCAACCGCTGAAAAGGCTCCGTTTCTTTTCCTTGGCCCAGACTGCAGCTCCTGGGCACGATCCCAGGGATGTTGGCAAGTCTCTGAGTCCAAGTCCCAAGCCCCAAGCCGGGGTCCCTTTAAAAACAAGGGGGGGGGAAGGGAAGGGATGAGTGGGTTCTGAGCTGTCAGTTGAGCCTCAGTCACTGAAAGTCCAACTTGACAGCAAATTATGCAACTTGACAGCCAATCACGCAACTCAAGTGCCTTCCCCTGCCCCCAGTGCCTCCCGACCAGGTCCTGATGCAGAAGCAGGATGAGGTAGGGAGGTGGTGGAGACAGTGCAAAGGGGGCAGGTGGGTGGCAAAGGGCAGGAGCAGGTTGGTTCCCCACCAGGCACAAACCGGGAAAATGAACTGTGAACCTGTTCACTTTTCTCGGAGTTCATTGTCATTCGCATTTTGCCGCGAACCACGAACCAGCTCAATTTGTTGCTTTTTCCAGTTCGTGCCCATCTCTACTTAAAACCAACCCCTGGAACTGGGCTTCAGCCATAGGCAATGAATGCAACTCTTTCTGTCTCAGCATCATCGAACTCCTCTTTCCCCAGAGACAGGAAGAATGGTCCTGATGAGGACAGAACCGTGCTTCTACACAACCTGTGGATGAAGATGATGAAATCCATGGCATTTCTCATTAATCTCTTGGTTGTTGTGTCCCAGAATATTGCAGCTGAAAAGGACCCAAAGGCGATCGAGCCCAAACCCCTCCTCAGTCTGGAAAGAGTATTTTAAGACGAAGGTGGAATTAAGCTCACTGCTGATTCCAGACTTCTGGCCAGAAACCTTTTAAAGGCTCCCACAGCCTCTCATTTGCTTGTTACAGAAAAACAAGCTAAGCAGGACATCTCCCCAGTGATGATAAGCTGTCCCCACAAGCAGCCCTCGAAGTGAGACATCTCCACCCGTTGGGTGCAACTCCCACAGGAGACATGGAGGTAGAAAACTTCCCACACAAACATTGGGTAACGTGGAGTTTTGCTTAAAGCACCCAGATAATTAGCAGCCTTTATTTTGGACCTTGTGCTAGCCTGTCGGAGTTGACGGCATGGAATCGTTAAACCATACGTCTTCAGCTTAAAGGTCTTGTTGGTCTAAAAGCTTTCTCTAGTGTGATACTAGATCTAGATCATTGGTACTGGACTCGGAGGTGTTTTGAACCAAGAGAACAGTTGACCCTTCTTTCCCCCCCCCCTCTGCTTTTCTCAAAGAAAGAGTTGGAGGGAGAGAGAAGTGAGATGTATCCTCTAGAGGCGGCCGCCTCATTCTGTTTTTGGTTGGTAGGAACAGCTCAGTCCTTTCTCGACCTGATCATCCATAATTGGCTTCCCAACCCATAAGTACCTCCACTGTTGAGTCAGAACCACATAGTAAGACTCGCTCAATCCTGTCGGCCAGCATTATCAGTGGGAGATGATGGCATCTCACTTATTTGTAGGTCTCAACACCTCAAACAATGGGACTTTTGGTAGGCCAAGCTGGTTGTTGATTCTTTTGATTCAATGGGCTTGCTCTCATTGGGAGTAAAAGGAAGCAGCCCTCTTGACAGGATATACCTGTTAGAGGTTATTAACTCCTAGGGTTAGCAAAAGTCCAAAGCACCATGCAACACATGACAATAGGAATTGGACAGTAGTTCTGCTTAATTTGGGGAGGGGGCAGGTTTCATGTGGGTGTGGGTGGGTGCACAAGGAAATACTTTTAGAAAGGTATTGAGAAGGTGGAGGAAAGTGACCGATAAGGGGAAAGGTATGGAAATCCAACACTACAGTGGGGGCTTAACTTGAGAACTTAATCCGTATTGGAAGGCGGTTCTCAAGTCAAAAAGTCTGTAGGTCAAGTCTCCATTGACCTACAGTGCATTGAAAGCCGATTAATCCCGTAACAGCCCTTTTTTGTTCCATTTTGGGTTTTTTCTGGTCTGTAAGTCAATTCTCAGGCTGCAAGTCAAACCTAAATTTTGCGGCCAGAGAAGTCTGTAACTCAAAAAGTCTGTAAGTCAAGCCGTCTGTAAGTCAAGGGTCCACTGTACATGGAAGAGTGAAGGGAGGTGAGTATGTCTGGCCTGTGGAATGGAGATGGAGAGGCAGCCTGAGAGCCATCTTCCAACGTAGGAAGGGCTCTCCAATGGGAAATGGGGTGAGCTTGTTTACCCGCAGCTCCAGACACGAAGGGTCCAAAGTACTGGATTCCAATTATGAGACAGAAGGCTTCTCCTGGATATTCGCCAAATCATCCCAGAACCGAGTTGGAAGGGGCTTGGCCTGTAAGACCATCAACGCCAACCCTCTGCTCCATGGAGGGAGACCATCCCGACACTGAGCACTTTCTGATAGCGGAACAGTCCAGCCTTGCAGGGCAGCGGGCCCTCTTTCATTGCATGGGTTCAACCTGTGGTTGGATGAGTTCAAGGCAGCTAATTGACTAGATAGGCGGGATATAAATAAAATAAATAAATAAATAAATAATTCTGAAGCCAAAATTATTAATTCTTAAGCAGAAATTTGTGGCCCAGAGCCCAACAACAACAACAAAGGCAGAGAAACAAGAGCAAAAACACAACCTGCCATGACTAGGGATGTTCAAAAAACAATAACTGAAATCCAAGTTGTGGTAAACGAAAGAAAGAAAGAAAGAAAGAAAGAAAGAAAGAAAGAAAGAAAGAAAGAAAGAAAGAAAGAAAACAGAACATTTTTGAAAATCTGGTGCACCCCATTGACCTCCCAATTCTCAGCTCCAATGATTTCATTAGCTTGCTTTTTTGCTGACGCTGGAGGGAGGGAGACAGGGAGGAGATGGCGCATGAGAGAGACCGAAGGGAGCCACACCCCCTTTCCAGTGGGCTAGGGACCTCTTCCAGGCTCAGAATGTTTCCGAGAAGTCTCCTCCGATCGTGGACAACGTGACCAATCCCTCTGAGCCACAGAGAGCATTAAATACCCCCTCTTTTGACTCCAGTTGGCAATTCAAGGAGCATCGCCATGCCAGAAGCACAGCATCTTGTTCCTGCACAGGTAAGAGAAAAGAGGAAGATGCAGTGGTTGGAGTTGATCCTAAATAGTCTTTATTGCCAGGACAGTGTTCCAGAATCAGTGGCCTCTTAGGGGTGGGGTGGGCTGGGGTCTGTGTCATGCCTACACCCTCCCAAAGCACTTCCCCATTCAGTGCAATGGAGAGAGTAGCTGCAACAGCATGTTGCTGGAAATGAACGGGTTTTGGGAGGCTCAGAAAACCCGTTCCATCGAAGACAGTTGTCTGGGCATGATGGGTTTTGGAGTCAAATGTGCTAAGCAATAAATGCTTCACATTACAATTAGAACGAGGCGGCCTTGAGCAGAGAGAAAGGCCAAGGGAAGGAAGCCATGGATGTACACGGATCTGCACCATGGAATTCTATCACTCATCCGCTCTTGTCAGACGGAGGACTAGTCTACCTGCAACATTGGGTGTGGGCTGGATCTGGCTAAAGAGGGTCACCAAGATGCCTGGTATGCCATTGGGAGCGGCCCTGGCATCCAAACGATATACGGACCTCAAGCAACCCTATTGGGTTGGCACCAGCCCTCTCGCCATCTGCCAAAATACTGTGAAGTGGCTTCAGAAGAGAGCTGGTTCATAATATTAGCCAATTAATCATATCCTTGGCTCTGTGGAGGGGCTGAGGAAATGGGGGAAAAAAACATGTTTAAGCATGTGGAAAGGCAATGGATAATCATTGCAACACACTTTGAAGACATAGAAGACCAATGGAAGGCAAGCGAGTAGCAGGTCAGCCCAGCCTGCTGTCACTTTGACCCCTGTCAAGACACACCTGAGTCTTCTAGGTCCCTTAAAGTGATGGCGTGAGTATTTCCATCCGTTAAACATCCTTTTTTTAATTTTTTAAAATATTGTTTCCTTGCTCCCTCCAGAGAGCTGAGGAAGTCTTTAATTTGCCCACGTCCTGAAGCGGCTCTCCCTTCTTAAGCCGCCACTTCAAGATGCTGCCAAATTAGTGGGGAAAAGTCGCCCTTGGTCTGTTCCCAGCCATCATGTGTGCTGGAAACCAACCAAAACAAAGCAGTCCTACCCACATCAAAAAAAGTGTGGAAGCCCCAGAAAGGAACCAGAAAGGTGCAAGTAGGAACGCTCCAGGCACAAGTTGGTTCACTCTATCAGTTATCAGGAGCAAAACGACTCCTGTTTGGACCATCCCCAAAGCAGGCTGAGCACCCGTCGGTTCAGAACCCTAATTCATCATCTCTTAGAAAGTCTGCAGGGAGACTTTTCCATGACTCATGAGAGGGCAGTTTCCTCATTTCCCATGATTTTCATCTTTTATTATTTCAGGGAACAGGGTGGGTGGCTAGCCACGTTAATCTTTTGCAGCAAACACAACAAAACATGACACATTTCAGCCTTGGAAATCCTTTTTTGGCTGCAAGGTAGTGTAATGTTTCCCCCAATTCCAACCCAGCTCAAACTGTTCT